GAGGGCCATAGGCTGACTCTGTAAACTGCTTAGAGAGGGCTGGAAAGCTCTGTGAAGTGGTATATAAGTCTAAGTGCAATTGCTAAGTGCTATTTAGCAGAGCCTTTTTAAAAACCCTGCTGGAAACAACGCGATTCATAGCTGAATGGGACAGAAATTGTGGAGGTGGGAAGGAGCTGGCCTGCACAGTAAATACAGGTTGTCCTCAACTTACAACCACAATTGAGCCCAAAATATCTGTTGCTATGCAAGACATTTGTTAGGTGAATTTCATCCCGTTTTACGACCTTTTTTGCCATAGTTAAGTGAATCACTGCAGTTAAGTGGATCAGGCTTCCCCCTTGACTGTGCTTGTCAGAGAGGTCGTAAAAGGGGATCCCATGACCCTGGGTCACTGTAACCGTCATAAACATGAGTCAGCTGCCAAGGGTCTGAATTTTTAATCGCTGACCTTGGGAATGCTGCAACGGTGGTAAGTGTGAAGAACGGTCATAACTCAACTTTTTTCAGTGCTGTTGTAATGTTGAACGGTCACAAAATAAACTGCCTGCAAATGTATATTTAAAAAGGTGTTCATTGGTTTGAAACAACAGAGATTTGGATAAGTAGAAACTTCTACCACTTGCTTTTCTTGTATAATTTTCTCACATATCTATGTATAAACGCGAAATGCCATTCACGCATCATCACAAAATCTCCAGAACCGTAAAGCCTACAAACTTGAAATTTGGCACGTCTGTTCCTCTTGGCTTCTAGGTGCTCACTAAGAAAGGATTTTTCAAAATGACCATCAGAGCTTTAGTATCTCGTATATTATTATTATTGTTGTTGTTGTTATTAATATACTCTAAGGAGTTCTACTCCCCCTCCCCACCTGGAAAATCTCTTCCAAATGCAAAACACAAGCAGAGGAGAGGAATTTCAGTTTCAGTTTTAGTTTCCCAGCAGCACCAAGCAGCTTTAGCCCAGAACAGTTGAGCTAAGCCACGCCCAGGCTCCTTGCTGCCTCCTTCTTGCTCACACACCAAATACCATTTCAGTTTCCAAACAGCCCTCAACTCTCTCACACACTGACAGGACGCTAGCCAGATGAATACCGATGGATGCTGGTAAGCAGAGGCAGATTCCCCGCCCCTTATTTTCCTCCCCAAAAACTAAGCCCCACCACATAGTTTTGTAGCAAAGCATTGATATCAAGCTAGTTATGAATATAATGCCGATATAGAACGGTTTCTTGATTCTGAATATTTAAATATATCCAAGTTCTTAATGCATTATTTGAGTGCAGGATTTTTTCATACATTTCCTCTGGGCCCTAAGTAAGCCGCAACTTTATGAAATACCTAGTATAGCTTTGAAGGAGTATTTTACTTACTTTAATGTCCCGGTGCATGACTCCGTTAGTGTGGATATAGTACACTCCTTCTAGCAGCTCCTGGAAAATCTTTAAGGTCCAATGTTTCTCGATATGATGATAAGGATCTTTAAAAACATTTAAAAAAACAGGACAGTTGTGCACACACAGCCTTTAGAACAGCTTTTTCATGCATCTGTTTAAAATGTGTTTATTTGTTTTTTAAAACAAAATGAGAAGCAAGCAAGTACCTTTTCCCAGGATAGTTGCTTAGACTTTGAGACTTACTAGAGGCATCCCTGGCTGTCAGACATACGTCATTCCTGGTGCTAATCCAGTCGCACAAGGAGGTTTCGCACAGTTGCATTTGTATGTGAAGCATGAGGTGATATTCGGTCTAAGAAGAGGAATAAAATTTCAGAAGGGAAGCCAGATTTCGCATTTACAAAGGTGCTTAAAACTATCCCGCAGAAGCACCAGAGCATGATTATCACCCATTTGAGACGAATTTGTATTTACCGTACAAGACTGGGGTGAAGGTATCTCCACTTTTGAGTCTTCATCACTGTAAGAATCATTCGCATTGGCGTGGCCCCCATTTTCATCGCAGCAACGTAAGAGCGAGGCCTGATTTCCGTTGTCCCTCGATTTGTTGCTTGTGTCATTGTCACTGCTGCCGCCGTATGTCCCAGGAGGAAGCGTGCAAGAATTCCCTTTGCTTCCTTTAGCATTTCTGCCGAAAGAATCCTCCGGAGTCTGATTGGCAAAGATGATGGAACTGCCTTCCATTTCTTGAATGCAACTCTGGTCCCTGCATAATAATAATAGTAATAACAACAACAAGAACAACAGTTGTCGATAAGAAAGACAAAAAAATCTGGATAGTGGATGTGGCAGTGCCTGGAGATAGCAGAACAGAAAAGAAAGAACTGGAGAAGATAACAAAATACAAAGACCTACAAACAGAAATAGAACGACTGTGGCAAAGTCAAGCAAGGGTAGTATCAATAGTAATGGGCGCCTTGGGTGCAGTCCCAAAAGTGGAGCACCACCTGAACACCATCATTGGCATTGACACATTTGCCATCAGTCAATTGCAGAAGGCAGCTTGCCTTGGAACAGCTTCCATCCTGCGGCGATATCTGTAACCCCATCAAACATCCAGATTTGCCTATCCCAGGTAAAGGACTCGATAGGTAGGCAAAAATGCCAAACCCAGTCTGAACATCTGGCTGACTCTGTGATGAATAATAATAATAATAAAATAAAAATAAATGAAACATGTGACAGCGATACCCATTGTCATCGGGGCACTTGGCACCACGTCCAAGAATTTCTCACAGTACATCAAGAAATTGCAGCTTCCTGCAATGACACCAGGACATCATATATTTGAAGAAAATACTCGGGTTGATACTTAGAATGCTGGCAGCAACCCGTATCAACCATCAGTTCCAGTTAATAATTGTGATACATTTTTAAATGTTCAGTTGACTTGAGTTTCATATTAAATGAATAAAGTATATAACAATAATAGTACATTTTAAGAAGATACTTGGTTGATATCCAGGATGCTGGCAGTAATCCGTATCCATTAGCACCAGTCACTGGTATTTGTGATACATTTTTTAATGTTCAGTTGACTGAGTTTCATGTTTAATGAATAAAAGAGATAATAATATCAAAAATCAAGTCAGGGAAGGCAACTGTACACCCTTCATGGACTAACCCTACCCCCCAAATAATTTTATTTATAAAAAAGAATTCGTTCAAAAAAAAAGAGGCAGATTTTTTTTGTGTGTGGAATCTTAGAATACGTACTCAGAATTTCCTGGCTCCGAAGATATTTTGAGAGATGGAAGATCTAAGACTAAGCCACCTGTAGTGGAGAAACAGGGCACTTCATCAATTTTGTAACGGCGGGTTTGTACGAGACGGAGTAGGTGAAAATCAAATTGGATTTTACTGTTGTTAATGTTAATGCAATTTATTTGTTGGGGCCGTCATGGGTCATGTGGACAGGTCAGCTAAACCAGTGTCATGCCCCTGTCAGAATCTGATTCTGAGGGGGAGGCCGAGCAGCTGACAGGGAGTGGGAGTGTGGCTCCTTTGGCTGTGGAGGAAACTGGGGAAGGGCAAAGGCTGGCTGGGCAGAGCAGGGGAGAGGTAGAGAAAGGGAGAGGGAATTCGGAGGAAGACCCAGGCCCTCCCCCTCTTCATCTTAGGGCACGCAGGGAGCTATGGAGAAGGGAGCAACATGAGTTGCGTGGCTTACGGGGAAGGAAAGGGCCCTGATTCCCTTCATTAGCTGCAGCTGGGAACACAGTGTTTAAAAAGGGGAGTTGCGCACAGCCAACTGTTGAGAGCAAATCGTGAATTATCTGTTATTGTCGAGGCTTATCTGTGTTCCTGGCATCTTCCCAACTGTGTGTGTTTTGCTGGCCTTTCAAGTCTGCAATTCCTTCTCCTGCCCTGTCAAGTTAATTACTGCAGCATGGTTTGTGTGGATTTTTATTTACAGTTTGTATGTACTTTGTTTTTGGGCTGAATTTCCTCCACTTAAAGACTGTACTTGGGGAGAATTTTTTCTCCAGCCAAAGATAACCTGGACATTGGGAGCAAAATTGGAGGTACTAAATGGACTCTTCTTACTTATGTGACTGTGTTGCCTTTGTGCCATGCCCTGGGTCACCACAACCAGGTTTAAAACGTTTAAGTATGTATCCAAACTGTTATTAATACCGTGACACTTTCATGTTATTCAGCTTTATAAAGATAGTGATGAAAGGCCAGAACCTGCAGCCGTCAATGGAGCTTGGAATTTAATTCCAGTCTCCTAGTCTCTGTGAGTCTTTCTGACAGGGGCCTTGCACTCAAGTTAGAAGCACCGAGGCACTTCCAGGTTGAAAGGATATTAGTGACGTATTTATTAAAGAGTGTAAACCTTATCAGGTGCCTGCCAAGGGAGCAAAACTTTAAAAAGCATTTTTATGAATTGTAGACAAAAACCCACCATACGGACCTCGTGTCTTTCGTGCTCTTGGTTTTAATCCTTTAACGGCTGTACATTTTAATTTTAGTGGTTTTAACACCTGTGTGTTCATGATATTGTAAGCTGCCCACTCGAGACAGTGAGAGAGAGGGCTTATAAAGGTAATCAATCAATAAATAAAGTTGAGAAGGTGGGATGAAACTCACAAATTATAAACTGCTGCAAACTGTCCACAGTCAGGCAGATGAGACCAGGGTGGGGGTGGGGGTATAGATATTGGAGGATGGATGGATGGACGGATGGACAGACAAACAAACCAACCAACAAACAAATGCTCCCCTTTTGGACATGCTGGTTGAACATGTTCCATCCAAGCCGTGTGGTAACCAACAATGTTAGGATGCTGCAACTGAGCCAAGACTTTCACTTCCCGTAGGACCTACAGAAAAATCAGAAAGGACTTGATCACATTTGGTATGGCCAGACAAACCGCTCTTTCCCAAGATGCCCATGGAGTTTCCGGAAACGGAACTAAGGGCGCCTTTCGCTTTTGCCCTGTCTTGTCAGGTGCCAGAAATCAAGGAATCAAGGGCATTTATGTGAAGGCAGGTTTGTTGCATGCTAACATTCTTCTACAAGAATCTGAACTATTAACGGTCAAAGCAAAATGATAAAAGAGTCAACAAGGTTCCAGGTGGGCCAGACTTAGATCTCTTGTGGGCGTGATTCAAAACTGATGACGCGCTGGACCTCTTCCTCGGGCTCTGCCTGGTCATCTCTTATGTCACCAAAAGATGCCCCAAAGGTGCTTTTTCAAAAGGCCACCAGACTTCCTGGTTTTTCTTTGAAGACGTTTCGCTCCTCATCCCAAGAAGCTTCTTCTGCTTCTGGGATGAGAAGCGAAACGTCTTCGAAGAAAAACAAAGGAAGTCCGGTTGCCTTTTCCAAAAACACCTTTGGGGCATTCATGACCTGGATGAATTTCCATAGTCACCATAAGAGGGAATGTCCACTATACGGGCATTGCAAGCCCAAGGGCACCCCTTGAAAAACTCTGCACCCCCAAGCAAATGGTTTGAATTGGGTGATGGGGAAGACTCCTGAAAAGCTGGGCAACTTCTCCTCCTACCCCACCCCTCTTCAACATTATATAGGGAGTACAAGCAAGAAATAGTGGGCGGGATTAATCGGCAGGAAGTGCCAAAGTCAAAAGTGGGTGGGGCTCCCAACTTCCTGTTCTCTCTCTCTCTCTCTCTCTCTCTCTCTCTGTCTCTCTCTCTCTCTCCATTCTTGCTGGAAATGCAGGACTTTGGGGGTTAGCAGATTTTTTGAAGCAAGGCAATAAAATAGACAAGTTTCTGCTTGCGATTCACAGGTTTCTTTCAACATTAAATATGGACTAACCCCGAGCCGGGAACTGTGATGCCTGTCTTTGCACCACACCCTTCAGACAACATAAAACAAGCCCATACCTTCATGCAGTCTCGTTTGGTGGCTTTCTTAATCAGGATTTTTTTAATCGCGTAGAATTGACCGTCAAGTTTATTTTTGACCTGAAAGGAGATCAATAAGGCAGAAGGATGTAAAGAAAATGTAGAACAAAATAAAATTTATATGATAAAATTCAGAACGAAGGGCAAGCATCCTTTTTGCAAAAAAAAAAAAAAAGAGAGAATTAAAAAAAAATCAATACAAAACCCTGGGATTTCACAACATACAGTAAGAGGAGGACTGAAATGAAATGAAATAAAATAACATCTGCTGGATTCAGAATATGGTTTTTGGGTGGCAAATAGGGAAAAAGGCCACATGGGTATCGTGACATTGTCAGGATTCCGGCAGTCACCCCCATTTTAATCATGAGTCTTGAGCCAAACTTCCAAAACTTCAAAAGGATTTATTGGGAGTTGACATGCCGGCACTGCCTGTGTGCAGCTGACTCTGAGACACATCATTCATTGTCACCCTTGACCCCAGTGGTGGTATTCAACTAGTTGCCACCGGTTCGGTGGGCATGGCTTGGTGGCCGCGCTTTGCACGCGTGCATACACTTTGCGTGCACGCGCGCGCCAAACACGCACTTTGCGCAGGCGCAGAGGCGATCTAACTTGCCTCCTGCAAGCCTGCACGATGCTGGTTGCTGCAGCAGCTGCCACGCAACGCTATTCTGCACCACACAAAGCAGCTGTGCTTTGAATTCTGGCCATAAAAGTGAGTATGGGAGCCTGGGCAGGCGGGTGGGCCAAACACAGAGCAGCGAAGAGAACCGGTTCGGTCTCCACTGCTCATTGCCGCTACCGGCTCTCCAGAACCAGGCAGAACCGGTCAAATACCACCACTGCTTGACCCTGGTTTTCCCCCCCACCCACCTTAGGTGTATCATAATTCATATTCTCCAACGAGGCACATCCATAGCCAAGAATCATCAATCATATTCTACAGTTAGAATTTTGCGCGGCAGACACTTCAGTCATCTAGTTACTATCTTTGACAAACTATTTATGGAATGCACTTTCGATTTCCAAGCTGCCGCAACTGCTCTTTCAAACCCCTTTCCCCCCTCCCTTTCTGTTGGCAACTCTAAAAAGACCATAGAAATATTTTATGAGTTGACAGACATCATTGCCCAAACAGTACAAATTATGTAATTCAGCAACTCCAACCATCTGTTGTCTTAAGAGCATACTCTTAGGTCATATTCTATAACTTTGCTCAGAATAAAGTCTTAAGATATATCAAAAGAAGGCCTGCCACAATTTCTACCCAACACCACCAATGAGCCTTATTCTCCATTCGATTCTAAGCAATGCTAATGTGGTTGATACAGTCAGTTATACATACCTTATATACTGTTCCATACCCTCCTTTCCCAAGCTTCGAAATCTCATCAAATTCGTTAACGTAACGGGATGTCTGTGCTTCAAAAAGGATTTCGTTCTCCCTGGTTTTTAAAAGAGTGTATCAATATGGAGAAGTTATAAAAATAATTTAAGAGGGAGAAACATTCCACTGTAGCACTTTCTTTCACAGATAAAGGAGCGAAGTATGGAAATAGAAATGAGACATCGATGTAGAAAAATATCCAGATTGGTGACAGCCTACCAAGGATCAAACTACTGATTTATGTCCTGAGTTAGGTGCACTTCAGCTTTTTACAATTCAGACATGGAATAATTCTCATTCAATTCTCAAATTCTCATTCAGAACAGAAACCAACCGTCTCTTCTTTAGACTTTTTATGTTACATAATTTACGGTTCCAACGTGACGTTAATCTGAATTTTATTTCTGCAATGCAGGGACTCCAGAAGCCGATGCTTAAAGCAATTGTAAAGTCAACATGTTAAATAAAATAGGTAGCTGGTTTAAACATTACTCCTGGAGCTTTGAATACGTACTTGTTTCTGTAGGAATCACCATGACCAACTTCCTATGTAACAGAGAAATGAAAAAAAATGTTGCGATCAGTAACAAATGCACAATCGAAAAACAAAGATAAAATAAAATAAACATTTATTTTCACATTTTATGTGAAAATAAAACGAAAAGCCAAGATAGCAAAAATCAGCGGTCTTTAAGCACAAATGTCTATCCGAGACAGAAGCAGTTTTGAGCTTCTTTTCCAATGTTATTCTTACTCTCCAGTTTCCTAGCTAAGAAAACTGAACAATGAATTTTTTAAAAAAATCAAAATACATTTTCCAGACACTTAAGAAATCAGATCCATGATTTGAAGGTCTTGTTTGCAAAGCAAAGGTTTGTATTAATTGTGCTTTAATAGGAAGTTTGGGCATTTCTTGAAAAGGGAATAATGTTTAGGATGCTGAGCATAAGAAAAAGGGTGGTTTGGTATAGTAGTTAAAGCACCAGCCTAGAAATCAGAGACCATGAGTTCAAGTCCTGCTTTAGGCATGAAAGCTGTCTGGATGATTTTGGGCCCATTACCAGGACAGGGTGAGTTCTAGTCCCATCCTAGGCATGAAAGCCAGGTGGGTGACCTTGGGCCAGTCACTCTCTCTCAGCCCAATCCACCTCACAGTTGTGGGGAAATCAGGAAGAGGAAGCTGTGCTGGATATGTTTGCCACTTTTGAGTTATTTGTAAAAATAATAAAGACGGGGATATAAATAAATAACGTTGGCGCTGCTCCAAACCATGGTTGCCTTTTTAGATCTGAAAGCTGCATCTCTAATTCAGGGTTTCTTAACCTTGGCAATCTTGACCTTGGCAATTTGATTTCCTTGGCTGGCTGCTGGGGAATTCTGGGAGTTGAAGTCCCCGCATCTTCAAGCTGCCAAGGTTGAGAGACAAGGTTGAGGTTTATATTCCACCATGCAGTTATAACATGGCCTATTGTTTGGCATGATATCCAAACAAACTGGAATACGTTAATGCTGGTTTTTAATGCCTTTGGGCCAGCAGAATAAGATGCCTCAGTGCTTCAGGTTTCTTAGCAAGGGGCTCTCTGCCCTAATGACTGGCTGGGTAGGTGTGGCTGGGTGGTCATGTGGCTAGGTGGTCATGTGATCGGGTGGTCATGTGATTGGGTGGGTGCAGCTAGGTGGTTGTGTGACTGGATGTGTGCGTGTGCGTCCAAATCGATGTTGCTTCTTTGTTCTAATTACATACACACATACACACACACCAAAAAGTTGTTTATTATTTCGTGCACTCAATACTTAAATAAGAGACTGGGTGAAACCAGGCTTAATAGCAGTGACTGTGAGAGAGATCTTGGAGTCTTAGTGGAGTTTCTGATGAGTTATGTGGTTCTTATTATTTGGAAATTAAACCTCTTGGGCACTAGTGGCTCTGTTATCTGGTTTTCTCAGTGGCTCTCCCTCAAAAGTGGATTGTTTATCTAGCTTGCAACACTTTTACCAGGTGTGAAATGCTCTTGGCGGAACGCCCAGAAGTTCAATTAAGCCTATGAAGCACTTTCCCTTGCTGCTTGTCTTTTTAAGGTTATCGGGGGCTCTCTGAGCCCCGCAGAATCTTAATTAGGAGCTCTCCTCAGCCCCCAGCAACCCACCCCTGCCTCGGTGGTTAAAAAACAGAACAAAAATACTTCACCACAGCCATAGCAATGAACTGGCCAAGCATCCCGATTTTGCACAAGGATTAAAAGGAGATGACCTGTAACTCCAAATATTGTTCTAGCATGCTTTTAATGGGCTTACCAGGAAACAGTGAGAGAGAGAGAGAGAGAGAGAGAGAGAGAGAGAGAGAGAGAGAGAGAGAGAGAGAGAGAATTACCTCATTGCGTATTTGCTTCTCCGCTGCTTTCATTAGTTCAGTAATGGCTCGATTATGCTGCAGTCGCAAACTGCTGAATTCTTCACAGATGGCAAAATCGGAAAGCAAGCCCATCTCAGTAAATGTTTTACAGAGTACTGTATTTGGGGGAAGGAGGAAAGAAGCCCATTTGAAAATAAACCGAAGACTCTTCAGTGCTTGCCTTCATTATGTTTTTATGACCTCCCATCTACAGTCCTTCAATTGCTTTCATTTCATTTAAATTATGTTTATAAGTCCCTGGGGTTGGATTTAAGAATAATAAAATGTTAAGGTATTAATACAACTATCGGTTATAATAAAACTAGCCTTGTCCAGCTCTCCAAATGTAAAATCCAGTAAAATACAGCAGCTGCAAACCATGGGGAGATAAATAAAAAAAGCAACGAAACAGGAGAAACGGGTGTTAAGCTTTCCTGTAAGTCTATAATGGTGAGGCCACTTGTATATAAACAGAGAGCAAACCCCATTCCCTTCTAGCATTGATGATGTTACCTAGATAGGTAATGAAATGTTTCCAAGAAAACAAGCTTAGAGAACACCAGGGACCACATGGTCTTCTTTCACCTCCTTGCTCCCCCTCCTCCCCTTCTTCATTCTGCAAACCCAACTCCCTCCTAGCATTGATGATGTTACCTAGTTGGGTCATGAAATGTCTGCAAGAAAACAACCAAGGTCAAGAGCCCCAGGGGACTCCACAGTTCAATCCTGAGCTACCATATTATCTTCTATTGAGGAAGGAAGGAAGGAAGGAAGGAAGGAAGGAAGGAAGGAAGGAAGGAAGGAAGGAAGGAAGGAAGGAAGGATCAAAATCAGCCCCACCCACCGGATGTCCTGATGACATCACTGGCCACACCCTCAATAGTGCTGTGGGCCAGACAAATGGCAAAGCATGTCCATAGAGCTCATAAAATATTTAAGTTCACACAAAATGCATCTTGAACGTGTTAATTTTTTACCTATTGAACGCGTCGGTTGGATTTAACAAAACCGAGCTCAAAGGAACACTGTTCTGTGGTGCTACTCTCTGGGAAGCTATCAACCCCAAACTATTCCATAAGGCCAACGCAAACCCTTCACTAACGTTGAAACAATCGTCTCGAACACGTCCGATCTTGAGCGTAGACGTGGCAAAGATGCTCCAGCAGAGAAACCAGCAGGAGCTGATTGGCAAAGGAGGACTTGATGTTCATTAATTTCTGGGAACCATTTGCACCCCGAAATTCGGCAGGCCAGTCAGAATCTGAAAAAAAAAAAGAACAAAAATGAAACTTGTTTTACATCTTCAGGGCCCTGAAAATAAGATTTAAAGGTGTTTCAAAGACATTGGTGTATTTGAAGTACAACGTGTAAATCGGGGGTGTCCGACCTCGGCATCTTTTAAGACTTGTGGACTTCAACTCCCAGAATTCCCCAGTTGGAATTCTGGGAGTTGAAGTCCACAGGTCTTAAAATTCCCCAGGTTTGACACCTCCTGTGTAAAGAACCCAGATGCACTGAAAGGCAATTTTGCTTTCTTTCCCCTTCTTTCTATATTTTTTTTTTCTGGAACAGATGGAAACGGGTGCAGAGTGAAGCAATCATCCATTATTTATCTCTGCTTCCTATTTATGCCCTGGAATATCCATGCTGCAATGCTGTTTTATAGCCCTGTGAAGCTGTAAGATCTGTGCTCGTAAAGAGATATGCTTGCTTTTCATGACAAATGGGATGTAATAAACATGCCATCCACTTCTAAGGCTTTATAAGGGCCTGTATATAAGAAGCAATCATCCCCAGAATTATTATACCAACTATTTATTAGTCACATATATAGTTATATGGACAAAGCGCTGTTACTCATTTCTAAAAAGCTTTACGATTCTTTCCGCCTACTTGCTTTATATTTATGGCATGAGCTACGGTAGTTATTAAGATTTTTAAGAACAAAAACCCGAGAGAAAAATATAAATTAACACGTAGGATAATTTTGCCGGATTTATCTCTGTGCAAACAACTAAACTGATTCCATCTCAGAGAGTTAACACCATAGCTGGAAATGCAGATGCATTTATGAAGATTCACCAATGTATACGCTGTAGGGTTGTGAAAAAAAAAATACCGACGCACCTAGGCTGAAGTATTTGGGCATGAGTGATTGCTCTTCAAACTGTGGAATTCCAACTCCTATTAATTCACATCCGGCTAATTAGCCTTATGCTTATCTTAGGATAAATCAATTCTAAATGGGAAGTAGCTCAATGCTGATTTTCTTCATCCCTTTCACATCAATTGATGTGCTAAAAAGTTTGTGTGATTTATACCTGACTGTAGAATTTATTTTGGAGGCCACTAACACTTGTGCAGCATGTGTGCAGCAGACTAATCGAACATATTTCAGAATTGCTGTGGTTTGCCCCTGAAGCCAAAAAGAGGACGCCTGATGCAACGATATTGCAAACGGAGTCACAAGACCCATTCTGAGAAATGATGAAATGGCTCCTTCCCTTACCTGCCTCAAGATAAAGACATGAGATCAATAAGGTAAAATTTCAGCCGTTCCATACCCTTCAGCATTTGGAGTGTAATATTTCAAACACTGTTGCACAAAGGCAACATTTTCAAACGCAGGCAAGCAAGGAAAACTTAAAAGTGGCAACAGAATTACATAAGGAAGTAGCTATTTAACTGAAAATATACAATTCTAAAATGCCTCTTCCTTGTTTAACAGGAAAAATTTTTTCCCCCAGGCAGAACCAAAGGAAAATTAGGTTACATCTCATCCTGAATTTTAAATCTTTGCCCAGAAACCCAGAACCAAGAAAAATGCAAGATTTCTTATTTTCCTTGTGGGAGGTTTATTTTTTTTACAAAAAATACAGCTTCAAAATGCATCATTTTTCCAATGCAGAGTTGTCAACCTGCACAGTCCAAAAATATATTCTCTGAAGTTCATTTTATAGAGGAAATACAAAAAAGTCACAATCAAGCCTGGAATTATGATCATAAGTTACTTCAGTCCTTAAATGAGTCATCATGTGACTGGACCTGATTTTACGATCTTTTGCAACTGTCGTTAAGCAAACACTGCAGTCGTTAAACAAATCAATTTTACTCAATGGGTGTTTTTTTTGTTTTTGTTTTGCAACTGTAAAAAGATGCCAGAAACCAGCAAAAAAAAAAAATTGAAAATCATGGCGTAAGTCGAGAACTACCTGTAGATGTAACAAATAAAACATTAAGCTATCTTTTAAACTAGCACTTTAGTTTTTCTAGATGCAGGTTCTCCTTTCCACCCCTTTCTGCTCAATCATGTCCAATTTGCAAAAATTGCCTGGACAGGTTCTGGCAAATATTTTACAGCAAAAAAGCATTCAGGCAGAAATTGAACAATCGAGGGAGAATTTTTTTTTTTAACTTTGTTTCTTGAGTGGATCAGGTCACTCAGGTGAACTCTATTGCAAAAGTATTCCCTGCTGAGGGGGACGCTGCTATAAGTTTGTTTTGGAAAATGTGGAGGTGGGTGGAGGAAACGAAATCCAAGCCTGGAATCAACCAGTTTTTCTTATTAGCGGCTGCAAGTAGTAATTTGTTCTTCATTATGCCTCATTTGCCTTCATCTTCCTCTCCATCCACTGTAACCTCCTCGTATCAAATTATAAAAGGCTGCCCTGCAGGGACTTTTGTGTACCGCAAATCACTGAACAAAACACAGGAGAGGAAGATGACACTGTATACCTAGGTCATTAAAAAGCCAACTTTTGATACAAGCCCCCATTACAATCTCCAGTTGTGCATGAAATGATCTACTGCACGGGTACACATACCTCTTCTCTCTCTAAAATAATCATCCTATTCACACCCCATTTACAATCCCCAGTTGCATACATAATAATCCAGGGATGTGTGTGTATGTATATATGTAGTGTGTGTGTGTGTACACACACACATACAATACATACACCTACAATACATACACCTACAATACATACATACATACATATATAAAGAGACCCTATATTATTCTCTCTCCATGAGTGTACACATAAACACAAACATACACATTGTCTCTCATACATATACTGCACTGTACACACACACATATATTGAGATATATAATATATATACACATACATACATATACCATACATGTATATGAATACATGAATACATACATGTACCCCCTCTAAAATAAACATCTTTTTATATGCATTCCCACACTAAACAGTTCCTAGTTGCATATAAAATAATCTAGGGAAGATTAGGTAGGTAGGTAGGTAGATAACAAGGGAGAGATTAGGTAAGTAGGTAAGTAGATAGATAGGTAGGTACATTTAGGTAGGTAGGTAGATTCCAAAGAGAGATTAAATAGGTAGGTAAGTAGGTAGGTAGAAAAGAGAGAGATGATTTATAGATTATAGAGAGAGAGAGATTACGTAGGTGGTAGGTTAGTAGATATAGATAGAAATAGATATAGGCAGATGATAGTTAAAAAGACAGAGGTAAATAGATACTGTGCATCTCTGTGTGTATAAATAAGGCAACCTATTATTCTGTATACATACACCCACAGCTACACATCACACCCACAGCCACACACAGTGCACACCAGCCCAGATGCACCCCACCTCTTCCCACTACCACCCCGATCAACCTTTTTCCCTACCCCCCACCTTACACCCCCCCCCGATGCACCGATACACGTGTACACACCTCCCCACATAACATCCCCACCCACCACCGCAGCCTTTCCAGCCGCCCTCCCGGCCCGCGCACCATCGAAGGGAGGCTCAGCTCCGGCCTTCTCCTCGGGGAAGCCAAGGGCGGCGAGGGCCAGGCGCGGCCTCTCAGCCCCGCCGACGGTGAAGGTGGCCTTCCTTCGCCACATGGCCGCGCTTGCTCTGGAAGGCCGCCGCCGCCGCCGCTGCTCCGCCTGCCTCGCCTGCCCGCCTGCCCTCGTCCCGCCCGGCTGGCTGGCTCGGCGACGCCCCCTGCCCGTCCCGCCAATACAGGGACCATAATCCCCGGCCGGAGGGCTACGGGGTGAATCCTGAGGGCGGGGATGGTTTATTTTTTTTAAAAAAAACACCTGACATTATTATTGTTGTTATTTTATATTTTCAACTGATTTTAACTATTTTAAAATATTTTATTTAGTTAAATATTTCAACTGTTTCTTTTATTTTTAACTGGTTTTATTTACATTTTATTTTTATTTTATTGTTGTTGACTTGATATCATCAGGATTACGGTTTGGGGAAAAATGAGAATTATTCCTGAAAAATTTAAATCTCACAGGGCTATTATCCAAGTGTGCATAAGCGCACAATCGTGCCTCTACCGCCCCTGTCCTATTTGTCCCCAATTATTAGTTCCTATTTCTTGTACTTAAATTGATGCTTATTCTTGTTTCTGTTGTAAGCTTTTGACAAATAAATAAAATAAAAATAAAATTTGTGATGACTATGGTTGGTCACACCGCCAGTTTGATCACTGGGTGGGGCGGGGAGACTTTTAAGAGGAGACTGGACAGTCCCTTGTCTGAAATGGTATAGGGTTTCCTGTTTGAGCAGGGGGCTGGACTAGAAGACCTCCAAGGTCCCTTCCAGCTCTATTCTGATCGATTGAAGATGTTCAGGCTGGATTGGGCATTTTTGAACACCTGTCGAGGCCTCCCTGTCTGGCCTGCACACCAGGCTGCCACTACACTGCCCATAAGCCCTGGCCGGAGGGCGAATCCTGAGGGCATAGATGCAGGTGGCATTTCTATTTCTTTTTTTAAAAAACTGGTTTTATTTATTGTCTTGATTTGATCATAATTTGGGTTATTATCCAATTTGTGATGATTGTGGTTGGCCACACGCGTTCAGCTTCATCACTGGGGAGTTTTAAGAAGAGACTAATGATAGAGCTGAATTGGAATAGAATAAGTATATATATATACTTTCTCTTTAAGAACAGTGCGTATTTTAAGAATGTACCAAGCAGAATTCAACTGGAAGTTATGTGTTATATTGAATGTTATAATTGTAAAGGCATAAATTGAAGTTTAAATAAGAGCTGAATGGGTAAAAATTAAAAGATACAAAGGTGTCATACTCCAATTAGTAACTACAGGGAAAAAATTGTTTAATGAGAAAAGAAAATATGAAATTGAAACAGGACAGACAAACGTATAAATATAATGACTAGAAAGATATTGAAACTTAGAAAAAGATACATATAATTGAATTTAGGAAGGAATGAGATAATTAAAAGTAAGATTGAGAAAACTAAGGGAAGGGAAAAATTATTGAGAAAATGTTAAAATAGTAATAAGATATGGAATAGAACACAAAGATGAATATGAAATTGAATTTGTGTCTGTATGGAGAAGTGATAACCCGGGACTATGCTATCCTCAAAAAAAGAAACTTTACCTGTATTATGTTTTGTGAAAACCCAAATAAAATTTTTATAATAAAAAAAAAGAAGAGACTGGACAATCACTTTGGTATAGGGTCTCCTCTTTGAGCAGGGGGCTGGACTAGAAGACCTCCAAGGTCCCTTCCAGCTCTGACTGATTCTCTTCTTTTGGAGAATAAAGGTAGTCCTTGACTGACAACAATTTGTTTAGTGACCATTCAAAGTTATAACAGCACTGAAAAAACTGACTTATGACCATTTTTCAGACTTACGATTACTGCAGCATCCCCATGGCCACGTGATCAACATTCAGACACTTGGCAACCGGCTCACATTTACGACAATTGCAGTGTCCCGTAAACACATGATCCCTTTTTGCGACCTGACAAGCCAAGTCAATGGGGAAGCCAGATTTATTTAACAACCGTATTATTATCTTAACAACTGTAGTGATTCACTTAACAATGGTGGCAAGACAGGTTGTAAAATGGAGCAAATTTCACTTAATGGGTTCAATTGTGACCGTAAGTCGAAGACTACCAATACCAAGGAGTCCAATAAAAATTAGGTCAGGTAAATACGCCACACATCATTCAAAAGCCTTTTCCAGCAAGTGAAGGATGCATAGGAACAAGCATATATCTGGAAATGTTTTTTAAAGCCCCTTCATGTCAAAAATGAGAAATGAATATGAATGAGAACAGCTAACTTTATCATTTGCATTTCCCCAAAATAAAAAATGCATTCCAGCTGGTAACATAGCATTGGGATCAATTATTTTATTTAAATGTAGATGGGACCTTACGTGATAAAGCTACCCAGCCTTAATCCTATTAAACCTCAGCAAGACTGTTTTTTGCTGAATTTCAACCATGATGTTCTTTTTTTGGATCTGGTAGAAAATATGCTTTTTAATTTGTATGAGTATGCAATAAGACATTTTTTGTTCTGTTTTTTTTTTTAAGCCATATTTTACGCAGGAGGCATCTGTGTCAAGCTAATGGGGCCATCCGTTTCCCAGAGGAACATGCAGTTCAGAAACTCAGCAAGCAAGAGAGGTGATTAATTAAATCACATCTTCCTGGTAATTGAACATTATCCTGTAGTGAAGCCTTCTGTTTTTTTCATGAACTGTAACAAAAATTTACAGTAGACACTCCTGTTCACTTTGATCTCTTCACTCATTGTAGTTCCTACGAACTTTCTAGAGGATTTTTTTCCCCGTCTCCTGTCAAAACCCAACAGATTTCAAAAATGGAGTGGCTGCTATTAAAGGCACTTGGAAAATCTGATTTTTTGTGAAATTAACCAGAAGTGTTCTACATTCACACATCTTTCATCATGTCTTTTTCTTCCCAAGAGCAGAGATATTTGTGCGGGAGACATTGAACTGGGGATGATCTATAGTACTAATTCAGCAGGAAGTCATTTTTTTTGCGATAAGTAGGAAACGTGGGGTGTCTGCACCATTTTGATAAGCTCCTGTGAGTTGGCAGTGCTCATTGGGACTCGATTTTTCTCTCCCATCTTTCTCTCTCCTTTCTATTTTCCCTCTCTCCCTTTTCCTATCTTTCCCTATCTTTCCCTTTCTTCTCTTTCTCGCTCTCCTTCTCCCTCTTTCTTTTTCTCCCTTTCTTTCTCTTTCTGTCTCTCCCTCCCCCTCTTCTCTCCTTTCTATTTTCTCTCCCTCTTTCTCTTTCTCCCTTTTTCTCTCTACCTCCTCTTTCCCTCTTTCTCTTTTCTCTCTTTTCTCTTTGTACTCTCCATCCTTCTTTCTCTTTTTACCTTTCTCTTTCTTTTTCCCTCTCTTCTCTCCCTCTTTCTATCTTGATCTTCTCTCCCTCCCTCTATTTCTTTCTCCCCGACTCTCTTTCTCTCCCCCTTTGTCTCTCTTTCTATTTTCCCTCTATCTTCTCTTCTCTCTCTTTTCCTATTTCTCTCCCTCTCTCTCCACCCGCCCCCGCCCCGCGGCGCCTGCGCGCGCCCCGGCAGCGCCCCCTGCCGCCCGACGGCGGGCAGCGGCGTCTGTGTGATCCCCGTGTGACCCAGAGCCGCGCCGGCCGCGGAGGCCCGGATGCAGGAGGCCGGGCGGAGCGGGGACGTCATTGTTCCCCGACACGGGCGAAGCAGGAGGCGGAGGCGGAGCGGCAGGCGGGCGGGCGGGCTGAGGCCAAGAGCGACCCGGCAGCGCCGTGCCAGGTAAGCCAGGCGGCGGGAAAAAGCGGGCGGGCGGGCGGGCCGGCTGGAGAGGAGAGCAGGGGAGGCGGGCGGGCCGGCGGGCGAAGCAGGCTAGGCCGCCCGCCGACCCTGCACGAGCTCCGGCCTGGCCCGGCCCGCCCCCCTGCCGAGGCGGGAGCGCCCCCTCCCTCCCTGCCAGGCCCCGCCCCCTCCTCCTGCCCACCCCCGCCCACGCGGGGAGGGGGGCATTCGGGCGCCCCTCGTGGAGGCGGCGGGGGGGCGCACGCGGGAGGGGCCCCTCCTCCTCCTCCAAGGGCTGTTGGGGAGGGGGGTCTCTTCGGGGAGGGAGGGGTGTGTCCGCCTGCGGGGCGGGGGTCTCTTCGCGCTGCCTTCGCCTCCCCCCTCCCCTCCCCGTGATTTGGCGGGCTCCCTCCTGGCGGGTCTTCCCTCCCCCCCCTCCCCGGCCTGCCCAAGGGCCGCTGGGGAGGATGGGCTTTTGCAGGGCAGCCCCACGGGCCGGGGGTTGGGGAGGATGGGGGGGGGGGTCCCCCAAGGGCCGGCGACTGACCGACCTTCCTTCCTCCGACGCCGCCCCCCCCCCTCGCTCGCTTACCTGCCGCAGCTAACAATGAGCGCACCTGGATGGCGGGGTTTCGGGAGGGGGGGAGAAGGGGGAGGATTTGCCTCGGTGCCCCAACCGCGGTTCCCACCCCCCACCCCCGCCCGGCCCCTGTGAGAAGGCCTGCTTCGTTCGAGGGGGAGGCCGCCCCGGCTTGCGTCCATCCTGGGCCTCTGCACGTGGGGGCACAAAGGTTGGCAGAGAGGGATCTTGTTCGCAGACAGAGATCTTGTTTGCACCGTGGGATCTTGTTTTGCAGAATGGGGTCTTCTTGGCACGGAGGGATCCTGTTGGCAAGGAGGGATCTTGTTTGCAGAATGGGGCCTTCTTGGCACGGAGGGATCTTGTTGTCCACAGACACAGATCTTGTTTGCAGAGAGAGAGGGATCTTGTTTGCAGAGAGAGGGATCTGGTCTGCAGAGAGGGATCTGGTTTGCAAAGAAGGATTGTGTTAAGCTTTGTTGCTTGCTTGGTAGAAGCATCCCTCCTCCCTCTCTTTCTCTCCCTCTCCTTCATCTCCCTCCCTCCTTCCCTCCCTTTCTGTTGCTAAGGGAGACTTTGCAGGCGTGAATTTTGCCCCGTTTTACGACCTTTCTTGCCAGGGTTGTTGAATGAATCACTGCAATTGTTGTGAGTCTGGCTTCCCAGTTGTCTTGGCTTGTCAGAAAGTTACGAAATGATGACCTGACCCCTGGACACTACAATGGTCAGAAATATGAACCAGTTGCCCCAAGCATCCAAATTTTGATGG